TACTTACTCCACGATATAACTTACACGATTGAAAGCAGTCCAAAGCAGATTTCCTAAGCATAAGTAGGGTGACTCTTCTGGGAGGGTGAACTTATATTCATAGAATCGGTGAATTTTAACAATTTTTCTAGGTTATTAAGATTAAGTTTACATAACTTGCATTTCAGATGATTGTAATCCTTTCGAAGAGAGAGACCATGTTGTTTCAGATGTTGGATTATCATTTGAACTTGAAACCGGCGGTGAATCATGTGCATCCGTTGATGTTATTGAAGATAAAACAGGTTGGATCTGATATCTCTATTTATCTTTTGTACAATTTGTTGATTTTCATGTTCATCTTATTCATCTGAAGAAACATTTTTTATCAGTTGAGGAATGTATCTGTGAAGCAAAGTCCATCCTCAATGAGTACACCAATCCAAACAGACAACAGTCTTGGACAAAGCGCATGGAGAACTTGAGTTCAAACTGGGAATCATGTCGCCCAAAACTTTTTGCCACAGTGCTATCCTGTATGGGGATATCGACAAGAAAGTGTGAGAGGTGCCTCAGTGGAAATGCTGTGTTACAATGCAAACATTGCAGTTATCAGCATCTTTGCCTCACCTGTGATAATATTATGCATACAGATAATGTACTGCATGACCGAGAGGTGTTTGTCAATGGTTTCTACCAGCCAGTTGCACCTACAGTGTCGTGTAATGGAGATACTTTGATAAAAGTCAGTAAGTGCACATCATATATCGACTGTGTGTAGAAGTGATCCAAATTCTCTTGCATGTTTGTTTTGCTTCATAGGAGTATTGCTGTTTATAGCTATACTGAAATATAAAAATATATCATTTTGCTATTTTGTACTATATTATATCTTTATGTATAGTGTAGTTCTACACTATACATAAAGATATAATATAGTACAAAATAGCAAAATGATATATTTTTATATTTCAGTGAGATATTTACCATTCAAATCTGAAAATTGTCCAAATTGTGGTAGTGGTAAATTTGAGAGGCAAGGAGCTTTGGTGGGACAAACTATTTTGATAACCATTGAAGGTAATGAATCTTTGAATTTTTAAATAATATAATAATAATATTAATAATATATAATTTTTTTTTTGTTCCTCAGGGAGGTTTGACCTTGACACTACAACTTTCAAGTGTCTAGATTGCAGCCACTGTTATAGCCCTATWCTAGAAAATATAATTCAACTTAATTTGTGGCCTGGTACTCCAAAATGCTTCACCCATTTGTTTGACCAAAATCTCTTCCAGTTTTGGGACAATTTACAAAAGCAAATCCCTGGAATTTCTCAACGTTCGTTTATTCGTTCATTGGAAGAATATTCAGTAAACAAAGGAAGGGTAATGTGGATTTATAATAATTTCTGTCAATTAAGTGTACATGTTAGGCAATAAAACCTGTGGACAAGAAGCCTGTCAGACAATTAATAAAACTATGAAGCACATGTATATATCAAAAGTACTGGTGATGTCAAAATAACAAGGAAACACTGAAACACATGATTGCACAAAACATATGAAACCTCTAGACATTGTTAAAGGAGACCTGAATTCAGTGGTTTGATATTGATGCATTGTTTTTCATTTATTTAAGACTGGTAGTATCAACAGTACAACATTTAAAACAGCATTCCAAGAATGGAAGTACTGTATGTTTGAGTTAGAAAAGATACAGAAAAAAAACTGGATGGAATGTCCACCATGCAGTATCAATCAACACTCTGCTCACGCAGATGGAAATATGAAGCTGTATCGCTTCAAGAAGGCTGGCTCGTATGTATAATTTGATTTTTTTCCAATTCCTCTGAACTTTCTTAGACTTCATCTGATGCAAGTCCATGCACAGATGGTTTTGNCCTTGTTTTTTTTTCTAATTATTTAACTTTGATCATGATGATCAATGTGAAGAATTTGCAGTTAAAAGCACTTTTTCTGTTTTACATTATTTATTTTATTAGAATATTTATCTAAACTATAATAGTTTATATTGGTTATGATATTGTTTATATTTTTATATTTAGGAGGCAGCGTACATCATATTATGGAGAGACATTCATTGCTTCAAATGAGAAGGTGGATGCCCATATAAAAAGTCTTTACAGTGGCAAGAAAAAAGAAATGATTCAGGCAAGAAAGTCATTTGTAGAAGTCATTTTTAAACAAAAGGGAAAATGCTGCTAAGTACTATTGTAAAAAAATCTAAATATCCATGTCTTTTGATTATTTTAAAAATCAGAAATGTATCACCTAATTTGTATTTTATGATTTTTCAAATGCTTTTTCTGTAATCCCTTAATGTCCACAAACTTGCATCTACTGTRTARATAATGTACATTGTATCAGCAAAAAATATATTATTTGTTTTAAAAAATTAAATCATTAGAAAGATAACACTTGTGGTGAAACAACATGGGCTGCAGCAACAAACACACTAAAGAAGAAGAAGAATCTGGATGAAACAGGTATACTGTATACTCACCCTCAACATAATACATTAATTAAGTTAGTGTTAATTGCATTATTCCAAGTGAATAGTTCGTGCATTGCTTGTTTTTAGGTCTAGAAATACTTGGGTGTCGCCACAGCTTGGCACAAAGTGCTCTCAGCATGTTTTATGGAGAGGTTTATGGTTATCCCCATTACCTCAAGAAACAACTGCAGTCTGGAAAGACAGAGAACATGTATTTCTACCTTGACATCATGTGMAAATTTTGGCCATGGCTCCAAAAAAATGATCCCAAAATGACAACCACCATGAAACCTGCACTCTCAATAATGCACGCGAAAGCGCACTCTTGGAGTTGCCAGGTACCTTGATAACTGCATAAAGTATATTATGAATTCTTTGTGATAAATCCAGCTTAAATTCTCTTGTTTTCCCCAAACGTGGTCACTCATAGTGTGCTCATTCCGTAACTATTTGTTTGCTATTGTATGTAGTACAGTGAAAAGTAAAAAAAATATATTTGGTTATCATTTACATAGGTAACTTGGGGAGGAAGATGGCAAGATGGTTCCGCTGGATCAACAGGGGAAGAAGTGGAACAAATAAACAGCCATTTTTCTCGGCTTGGTAACAGTACAAAGCACATGCTTCCAGAGGGTACAACAAAACTAGTTCAAATCTAATGTAATATTACTAGATTTAAAAGAGTTGACAAATCAAAACAAATAATACAACTCCATTTTGCTAAATGGATTTTGTTATAACTTTCCATAGGGCGTGAAGAACTCATAACTGAACATGCCATGAGGTGGAATAAGCACAAGATTGAGAACATGTCCAAATCTTTGGCCAARCGATATGTCAAGGCAAGTAAAGTACAATATATTTCTTGTAACAAAACTCTTCAATATGTGAAAAAAAAATCCTACACAGGTTAAGAAGCAGTTGGATACAGCTGAAAAGGAAATACTAAAGCTTATTAAAGAATACAAAGTTCAAGAGGATGATTTTGATGGAGACAAATGGATAGGGGAAGTGAAAACAATAGCCAAGGGTAGGAAATAGACTTCTTATCAATAATTTTGTTCAGAGGTGACAGTTCCTCAATTGACATGTTTTATTTGTGTGTGTCTTTCAGAGGAGCAGTTTAAGGCTCAAGGCACAAGTGTATTTAGTGTGTATGAAGATGTATTTATTATGTCAGCACTACATGTCCCTCAGATTTCCCCACAATGGCAGGCAATTATTAACAGTGTCAATGATTTGTTTCCTCAACACTTNATATTGTATGCACACCAGATTCCTCCAAGCAAAGAAAACGCCTAAGGGGAAAATTAACAAAAATAAAGGCTGCCATTGTTGATATGGTTACCAGGTGTAGTAGTCATTAGTTCCGTTGTTTCTTGATCTTTAAATCAAAGCGTTAAATAAATCCTAGGATGGATTAATTATTGTTTTTATTTGTTTAGGCACAATCTTATTGAACCAGGCAAACCACTTAAATGTGAGGATGTCGAACGAGGAGTTTTTTCTTGGGTCATTGAAGATCAATTAGAAAGTTCTTGTACTGGTGAGTTATATCATTCAGGGTGAAATGGGTTGATTGTGAGGTCCAGAAAGGTATCGGGTATATTTCTAATTTTCCAGAATTTTGCGTCAAAAGTATTTTAACATTGTTATGAAGTATACTATTCCATCTATTATCCATAGGTTTGYCTATGTCGACGAAAATTCTTATCTGTAACAAGGAACTAGAGGTGCGGAGGTTTAAAGAGGAGGTTATTCTCGTAGAGAAGGAAATGGGAAACTATCTCCTGTACTACAAGGAATTAATATACAACTTGAAAAAAGAAATAGCAGTTCTAAAAACAACTTCTGGTAAGTAATCTGTGATTTGTTTGCATTGGTAATAGTATGTTTGCCATTTGAACATAGTCGATTTCACTTGGTTATGATTGTCATTATCATTGTAATTTAATCAAAAAGGGTTTAGTCTTGATTGTACTCTTTAATGCACTCGCAGAAATAGAAACAAGTTCGTTGCAGAAAGAAGAAAGCGATTCAAAAGAAGAGGTAATTGCATTATTCGGTTRCCATWATTCTAATTGACTGGCACGGTTTAGCTGTTGACGGTGCACCTCTCGGTTGTCATGATGGTCTTTCCTTTTTAATTGTTAATGGCGACGTTGTTTTACGATTTAAGGACAAAGGAACCTACGCAACTGATGGGGGCTGTGCTGGAAAGCTAGCACTCCTCAAATGCGGCATGTATTTTTCACTACAGCAGCTTTCGGCAGGAGTRAGCATCTTTAGTGAAGTAAAAGAGAAGTCATGTTCCGAGCTACAAGACCTGCTCAAAAACCTGGAAGAGGAAGAAATTTGTGGATGGAATGAAGAGGAAAATGATGAAGATCAAGACAGTGATGATGAAGATGTGAATAGTGACGATGAATCAGAAAATGACGTCAACGAATGTGGTGCAAATGTAGATAATACGTAGAACAACTAAAAATGATGTTCAAATGTGTTTATAAGTGTGTTTGATAAGATCTAAATGACTCGATTCATTCAGAAATATGTTTATACAAAATTGATCCACTCAGGTAAAGTTGATACAATGATTGTATTGACTATAATTATTAAAGAGATTATTTAAACTATTTAAAAAATGAGGTGTAATTATTGAGGTATCATGTGAAGATAGACCTCTTGATAGTGAATCATGTGAAGATAGACCTCTTGATAGTGAAYAATGTTAAGGTTTCCTAGTGCTTGTCTTGGATGCTGAAAAAGTCAAATGGTTCATTCTTTCAGAATGAGTCGGTTCGAATCCGACATGACTTGCAAAGAGACAGTTCTTAGGRGCCTTCAAAACCCATATGCAAAGGMCCGTACCAGGGCTAAAAAAAGTGGTGGGGAACTRAAATTGTGGTTCGGTGTGATTGAGATAGTGTCGGAAGACAAGGGGTTATTGTGACTATAAGCATTTCACCTTGTTCACAGAGATCAAGCGCTCCTTTCACTAGGGCGAAACACATTTCGGAAAACACTTACAGTATTCCCATTTGATATAAAAATGTGAAAATTAAAATGGTTCAATCAAGAAACGTTTTCACGGTGTCTGCGTTTAGGGGCGGATCGAGGATTTTCCTCAGAAAGGGGTTAGGGTTAGGTTAGGGCCGGTTAGGGTTAGGGTTCTNCCGTACCAGGGCTAAAAAAAGTGGTGGGGAACTAAAATTGTGGTTCGGTGTGATTGAGATAGTGTCGGAAGACAAGGGGTTATTGTGACTATAAGCATTTCACCTTGTTCACAGAGATCAAGCGCTCCTTTCACTAGGGCGAAACACATTTCGGAAAACACTTACAGTATTCCCATTTGATATAAAAATGTGAAAATTAAAATGGTTCAATCAAGAAACGTTTTCACGGTGTCTGCGTTTAGGGGCGGATCGAGGATTTTCCTCAGAAAGGGGTTAGGGTTAGGTTAGGGCCGGTTAGGGTTAGGGTTCTCAAAAAGGGTGCACCCCACAAAAATCATTACCATGGAGATACAAAATAAGGAAAGTATTTAAGAATACAGATGTCAGGAGGGGGTGTGCACCCCTGTACCCGCCATCTGGATCCGCCCATGTGCGTTGACTTTGATGCTTAAATTATTAATAATAATTAATTAGTAATGTTGAGAAAACGCAATATAAGTATATGATAAATGCTGGTCCGCGATCTGTGAACGAAAAATTCAATGTATTACAATAGATGTTGACTGGACATGCAGAAACTGAAACATCACGAATAATTTGTTAGGAGCTTTTTCTACCATCCATTTTTTTCGACCTTATAAGTTGTTTGCAACATCACATGTAAAAGATGATCGATAATTCAATAAAATATGAAAAAATCCTAACATTGCTATAGATTCCAAATATTCCAAGCTCTATATAATTAGAATCTTCTGCAAATATATTACATCAGAATAAATTTTGTATGCCGGTCTGCATGGGCTAAACTCTTTCATTCCTGAAAGTTTCATGCTCTGATAAAATTTCAAGAAAACGAATYAAGCTTGTCAACACCAACTACAGCAGGTTAGCAGGAKTTTCTCGAGCAAAACGACAAATTGCCATATCTGCTTCAAATGCACACCAATCCCAACCYAATTTCACACACATCTAYCTCTAACCAGTGTGCATATAGCCTGAAACTTTCATAGATCTACACATCATATTGTGGATTTTATGAGTGACACAGTTTCACAAAAATGGAGTGCTAATTTTGTTATTACTATCAGAATAGTCGATACACTCATGTTTGCCTTATTTTCGTTTTTCTATGCAAACCTTTTGTAATACAAGATCTGTTCTTTATACTTCGTAAACTCTGAAGGTTTCACAGCTGAATCGTCAGTTCATAATAGAGNTTTACCTAGTTCTGGGGAGAGTTTTGTAAGGACCTTTTGAGTACAATAAACTGTTGCGTGACTAACATGAGTCTTACAGCTAAAACGTGAGTTTTTTCAACGCAGCCAAAGGCCCGTCTTATAGTGGGAAAACCCATTTTACAATCCTAAGAGTTAAGACAGAAACAGAAACAACTTTTCATAAGCTTTATCTTTATGTTTTCATTAAAGAAGGTAAAGTTTATGTAATGACATCAAAGATCTATTAGATCGTCTCTCCCATATGCGTCGTATGTTTACATGCGGAACAGTGCCTTGATCTTAATGACTGGAGACGGCATTTGAGTCCATAAGGTCTTACGACTGTCAGATGTTGCCGAGAATGTCCTAAACGTCCTTGCGGCACCTGTCGGGGCTACATTCTCACTCAACTGAGAGCAATATATGTAATATAATGCGTGCCAACAGACCATAAGAAAAAAAGGGCGTGGCTATCGTAACGCCTGAATTAAAAATTTATATAATACATAATTACTACCCGAGGAAAGAACATATTAGAATGATTGACATCTTAAAGTTTCAATGCTCTAACATTTAAGGACCAGAAATTACAGGTGTTTGAAAATGCAAAGCTTTGAGTGAAAATCAGTATTAAGGCCTTACCAGCCTCGTTTTTGGTACGTTTTAAGTCGATATTTTTACCATTTTAAACTACAATACGTCAATTCACTAGTTTAAATATACTCTTACTTATCAAGAAAAAGAGTTTTAAAAATAAGGTCCAAATTGTGTAAGATAGTGATCGCGAGAAGTTTTCGTGTAAATGCAACTAAATGCACATTTCGAGTCTCGACGGAGTCGAACCGTCAACCCACTAAAGGGGTTCACCCATAGACTCTTTCTTAGTGCGTCAGTTGTATTTAGACTATTCTCAAATTGCCTCGAATCCATATGAAKATTGGTTATTTTCATGTTTTCTGTTCTAGACCAGAAGCTTTTTCCGCCTATAGCCTAAATATAGTCATAATGCTCATTGGAAATCAAATTGCGTCAATTATAAGAAAATGTTCATTTGCGTTGCTTAATTTTCTTTTTGATATAAAGCATAGCAAAAAAATTATTTTCCAATAACAACTCGGAAAAGGTGTGATACAAATCAAATAATGGAGTTCTTAGAACCATGAAGTACTTTTGTCTACTACTAGTTTTAACTTAAAAGTCAACAGAACTTAGGGCTGGGTCACTCGTTGCACTTAGTTGTGTCGTACTTCTAAAAAAGCTGAATGTAGGTCGAACTAAATAATTCAGATGAACGAGTCAAACGTCCTACCAAATATTCGAAGAAGCCGTACTCAATGGCCATGCACAAAATTKAAGTCCAACTGCGTACTTTTACATCAACTCACAATTAAAAGAATTTTYTACGGCTCATGTTRAGTACGCCGTTTGAAYCACCTTACRCAAATATTTAAGTTGAGCCAATAAAAAGTCAAAGAGATATGACACTAAAATACCTCTTTATTCTCCAATTGCATTGTTTTCTTTAGTTTCTATTCAACCAGTTGATTCAACTAACACACTTTAGAGCAGGTTCCCACTATGACATAAGTAGAAACCGAAGCAGAAGCTTGTTCACACTTGACAGAAGCATGTTCTTCTGCTTATGATGCCCTGGTTCACACTCATAATCTTTCAACAAAAGCAGAAACAGAAGCAGAAGGAAAAGGAAATCAAAAAGGTTTCATTTTCATTTGTTTTTGTCTCTGCTTGTGTTTTCCCCGATTCACGACATTTACAAAATACACTTGTTCTGCTTCTGCTTATGTCACAGTGTGAACCGGCCCTTAAAAGAGTGAAGTACAAAAAAAACATGAAATAGATATTTCACTAACACGTCATGTTGTATGCTCTCATTCTAATGTCTTTTGTGCCTACTTGACTATCATGCTTAAATACTCAAATTTTCTGTTGCGTGTTTTTTTGACTTCACTCTAAATGGCTTAGTATATGGCTAAATGACTTAGTCTAACATAGTGTAGTGTGCAATGGATTAAATATAACACAACAGAGGATATGATAACTAACAATTTGAAGCATAAATGTAAAGAGCTTTCTCATTGGCCATTGATAATACATGGCACATTACTTGGGGCCTTGAACAGAAGCTGCAAATGCTGAACCTAAAAGGAAAAAATCAATAAAATAGGCATAAATAAGAAAGTGACACAAATCCTGCCTAGTACCCTTGTACACACTGAGATTCCCATGAGCTATAGCTAGGTATAATGAAATGATCCTCCTTCGACCTTTTGTTTACATATTAAAGCCAATTGCACCCRATTTGTTTGACAAATCTTTGTAAATTCATAATAGTGTCCTTCATGGTTACCTGCACCATCTTGAAAGGTAGCTGTGCCTTCAGTGCATCGAAGCGAGATGACCGTTGAGCGTGCAATGATAGAAACCTTCTTTCACACCTACAGACAATTATTCACATGTATCTATCATTGCACACTCAACGGTTGTCTCGTTTCGATGTAAAGGCACGGCTATTAAAACTCTGTGACCATTCTGGAAAGAAACCAACTTACAAAATTTTGATAATGACCTCCATTAATTTGATGCTTATGAAACAGGGAAAAGTGTACAATACCTTGATGGATGACTGAATATAATTGTTTTGTTTAAAGTATTAAAAGGATCAAATCATCCAAAAACTAATGGATTAACATACCAGAAGCAATATCTGCTGAGGGATTGGTTGCACATATAGCTGATGAAGATGAAGTTGATGTTGTATAAAACAGGAAAAAGTGACTATGATAATATAAAGGCAGAATATCTCAATGTGGCAATAATAATACAGAGTCTTTTGGTTAAATATTTTTTTCCTAGATGGATCTGACAACAAATCATGTATGATTAATTAACATACCAGAAGCAATATCTGCTGAGGAATTGGTGGTACATTCCATAGGTGATGACAATGGAACTGATGCTGGCAAAAGTGTATGTTAATTAGGGATATATCAATATGAAATAGTGCAGAATGATAAAACCATTTTCTGATTAAACATATTTCTTGTTTAACAAAGTTATACATCTTGCCAGTCAGTATAGATTGTTTTGTTAACTTTTTTACCTTCCATGAACTTCTCGAAGAGTTCCAGCGCACATATCCCGCTTTTTTGTTTAAAAAAATCAGAACCAGTTCCATTTGTCGCAAATTTTGAGACAGTATTTCCACGTCCATGTTTGTGAAACATTAGGACAACAATGTCGTAATTGTGCTGTTTATGTAGAATATCTGCCTGTATATCAAAAGGAATAATTTCAAAACACGGCATCTCAAGGCTTCCTTAATATTATGTTAAGAGATTCTGATGCCAAAATCAAGTATTTTTTCTTAACCACTTGCATATGAATGGACATATATATAGTGTTTATTATGGTCACTGTCGTGTATGTGAGGAAGAGCTGTCTTTTTTTCTCAAAATGTGCCAATTAAAACAAGCCTGAACTKCTGATCCTTACAATGAGTTCTTTAATGAAATGACAAAAAGAGAGGAAATTCTCATTCTCTCCACTTCACACTTTTTTGTGTGCAGAATCAATTCAGAATCAATTAGACAAAAACTTTCATGTCTTTTTCATGATTCTTTGTCTACAAGCTGAGAGTACAATAGGTTTTTGATATGAAAACAACAAAAACATAATGATAATAATTAATAATAATAATCATTGTCATCATAATTGTTAAAATTTGGAATTGACATTATATAAATTATACTTATAAAAATACTTATATAATAAAAACACTATTTACAAGAGTCCAGAAAAATACAAATTGGAAATGTCAAAAATCAT